TTTCTACATCATAAATGATCTTTGATTTAAATTTATCTGAGAAAATGTTTTTGTTTGTTTAGGTAGATCTAAATCGAAATTTTCTGTATTTTTCATTTTGTTCAAAGAACTAAAATATATGCATATCAGTGTTGCTTTTATCAAAGCTCATATATTCAATATACTCAAGTTGCTTATAGTAAACATTTTGATACATAACAAACCTGTTTAATTAGTCTGTGTAGACAGGATAGAAGCTGCATTTTCATACCAAACCCATGATTTTTCCTATGTTTGCAGTCTTATCAATCAAAACTGACAGTAGTAAGAGCTGCAGCTGACAGCTTGCTGAGCCCCTAGTTTGTTGTTTAACTCCTTCAGTACTGGCAAGCCCAGTCATCGTTCCAAGTTTGTCTGGTGCCTAAAAGCAGCAGAATAATCTGGCGATGTTGGCCCTGAGTGCCATGGAATGGCAGCACGGAGTAGGCATATTAAGAGAGACAGGAAGATTCTGAATTCCTTTGCGTTTCCATTCTGTTTAGTGGTTTAACTGTAGGAGCCACACACCGCATGCCTGGATTCCATTCAGGGCTCATTGCAGATTTCGAGCACACCATATTTGGGTGCTGTCTCTAGCCTCTCTTGTCTTCTGTTTTATCTACAAACTTGTGCAGCAACCAATCTCCCCTTCTCAAAAACAGCACATCTGAAAACAGTAAGTAGAATATCCCCATCAGTTGGTATTTGACAGGGAGTGACTTATGATTGTTTTGCAGGGATTTTGTTGCTGTCTTCTTCAACACCACATGCTTATTTGAAGAGCTTGCTATTTGTTTTGACTACTTTTGCTCAGAGAACCTTTCATAAATTCTTATTATATTTTTATTTTTCTTGACTTTTCTCTCTCCATTTTTTCACAATAACCTCTTCAGACACCACACACAGTACCAGTTTCAGAATCATGGGAGAATTTACAGTGGAAATTCTGTGAAAATTAGTTTAAATCAGCAGTCATATTTCAGGCAGCCTCTTTAAAGCAGTTCACTTTCCTTAGTTTTCCCAGTCATAATCTCACATTTTCCCTATACCACTCAGCTATTAAATTGTCTACACTGCATCATATTCATTGTATCCAATATAGAGAGAAGGTGGCAGTGAACTAACTTTCTTTGATACGGCACATTGGATCCTGGTTTCCCTCCGTCCCATTTTGCAGGAGTATTTGTGTAATCTATTAAGTCTAGATTTTCCTATTTCCAATTTACATGAACATAAAGAAGATGAGGGAATGTAAGCTGTGAGTAAGTGAGGAAGGTGTTCCTTCAGTCACTCAACAGTGAGTGACTCCTGTACCAGTGATACACTGCTGTCTCCTCTGGGTCACTGGCTGTCAGTTCAAACCAAGGTGACTGAAATAAACTCAAGTGCTGTTCTTGCCTTTGGGCTGGATCATTCTGTTATATTGGTCTCTGGCATGCCCCATCTATGTCGGGCACTGGTGGTGTGCTCCAGCATAGCAGCACAGTGATCTAATAAGACTTCGCTTCTGTTTTACCCTCCTTCATCTCTTAAAAGCAGACAAAGTGAATTGGCTGATACCTGACGAATGCCCTTGTCTTTCTTTCCTTCTTGGGACTTTTAAGCTGCATCAAGGCAAATAAAGCACAAATGTCTTCACACAAGTCTAAAAGTAATCTCAAGTAGGCATTAACTCAGTTTTCTCAAGGAATTTCCCCATCTATTTTTTTGGAGGTTTCTGTGTCCAACCCGAACCCTTCCTCCTTACCCTGCAGAAGTGTGGAGTTCGTGCTGTTCATGTTGGGAGGTTAGACAGGCTTCTGCACTCCAGTGCAGAAGGATTTCCTTGTCTCATCTTTTGTGTCATGTCTCTGTACGGTCTAGACCTCACCCAGATTCATCCCTCCTGCAGTGCTTCTCCACTTGGCTGCTTTCCATCATATTTTTTATCCATAGCAATGTCCTGACTGATGCTTTAGAATTGCAGCTGGACATTTAATGTTAACTGAGCGAGTTATTTCAGCTGTAGTGATGATGTTGTTTTCAAACTTTCTGCAACTAATGAGTCGTTATAAGTAGTAATAAAGGTGTTTGTTGGGGCTCTTGGAAACACTCAACCCATGCTAATTCTAGTGGTCAGCAAAGAGATCGAGGCTGATAAATGTGTAGGAGGGGGAACAGAAGAGAAATGGTGAGAGGAGTTGAAAATAGTTGCAGGAAACGTTAATTATACAGCTGGTTCACATGAACTTTCTCCTCCCCTTGAAAATAAAGCTCATTTTGAAGACACTTGTAAAAGCTGTGCTTTAGGAATCAAACTCCCTGATGTCTCAATAACTGGCAACATCCAGAAATATAAAATTGCTGTGGAGTAAACAAAGAACTCATCTGTGCATGGTTGTTTTAGTCTCAATTAAAGCTGGAAATGAGATTTTGCATGACTGTGCTGCCACAGTAGGGCCAGTGCACAACTTTACTCTATGGATTTAATCCAGATTCTGCAGAGGAGAAGACAGATTTTTCCATTGACTTCCATGACCTTTGGACCAAGTCTGCTGTTGATTTGTTCTGATTCCTGAAGAGCCACATCCTGTCTGACAGATAGTGCTCTTCTGCAGGTAACTGCAACTGCAAGGCCCCTTTCTGCAATTGCCACAGTGTGCATGTGCATTTGTGTGACTGACTGAGCAAAGCAGGCCATGTGGATGTTTGCATGGATGTTAAAGTCTGCTAGGAGATGACAGTGAGAGGAAGGTATACAATAAAAATAAGATCATGAGAAATGCGCAATTAAATTCTTACTTTATAACTAAATAGTATATATCTGTGTTATTCATATTGTTAAGAGATTGCACTATTACTGTTCAAAGAAGCAGTGCATTATAGGAGAAAGCTGACAATTTAGTCCCATAGCCAAACTCCAGAGCCCAAAAGTTTTTAGGGTATAGGTAAATCTGACAAATACTTAAATGCAGAAGTCGTGCTTATGTGTGCTTCACAGTGACAAGACTGTCAAATTCCAAATGGCAGTCAGTCCTCTGAGAATGATGTTTGTAGGAGAAAGAATGTTGTACTTGACTGGTAGTATGTCTACAACACTGGAGACAAGAGGAAGAAATTAATAAATAGGGATGAAATTTTCATGCAGATACTGGGAGAAAATGTACTTTTGATCAAAACAAAAATCTGGACAATTTGAAATATGGTTTGAATTACTTAAAAGAAGTGGAACACTTTTTAAAATGTGTAATCTTTGCTGTTTGCCCATTGTTACCCACCTGGGAATTTCTTTTTTCCTGGCTTTCCCTTATTTTGGACATTTTGTAGCAAGTGGATATGGTCTGATGTAGTAGTGTTCCCTGAGGTTCAAAAAGCATTCATTCATTGCTGAAAATGATATATGAAATGGTATTCTTCAGAGGAATCTGTTTTTCCCTGATAAAAACAAAATAGAACATTTTAAAAGGCATCATATACAAAAAGTGTGCATAAGGAAGTTGAAGAGTATGGAACGTCCCCAGCTATCTTCTCTGACGACTTCTTTAGCATTCGTTCATTAGAAACCCCCTGTCAATAGAAGAGGTCTGTCCATTGTCACAGATTGAACCACATATTATCTCCAAAGTTCAAAATGGTTTGACGGACCATGTTAAGTGTGGATCAGTCTGGGAACATCTAACTTCGGTGAAACTCACTGAAATGATTAATTATTTTTCTTCAGTGTAGGTAAACCATATGGCAAAACTGACTTCTATTACTGAGGAGGAGCACATTAGTTGCAAAAATCAGTAAATCTATTGTTTAGACCCATGAACAGGAAATCGTATTTCTCATCAAGTTCCCTACAAAGTAGGTCACAAAATGGCTGCGAGTTTAGCCCAGATGCATCATTTTGTGTGCCATATAGATAAATATTTAAAAACTGAGTCTGTCTAAATGCAAATCGTCCTTCCACTTCAGAACAGTTCTAAGTATAAACATGTGCTGACCACCAGCATGCAAAAATATTGTGCTTAGAAAAATACCCTTTGATGTTAATATGTTTATCTTTATTTAGCTTGGCTTGGTTGTATGTTTTTCACACTATTGCAGTATGTTTACACAACCAGTAAGGACACTCAGAGTTGACTATTCATGTTTATTGAATCATTCATATCAAATAAACACTTTTGGGAGTCTGACCACAGAAAGTAAAAGCATTCCTTTGAGAGGAGAGAAAATCCTCATTGGAAAGAAAGGATCTCTGCTTGCTTCATTATTAAGTGTCTGAGGAGAAGGCATGATTTCAAATGGCATGAGTGAATTGTGGACATGTAAGGGTGGGAGTTGTAGTTTGGGTGTACACGGCCGGGGGGGGGGGGTTCACAACTTGCAGTTGAGATGCTCAGGGATGCATTAACCCTTTGCACTGTGCATCTTCTTAGATGAAAAGGGTTTTCCCATGCCAGTTCCAAGTCAGAATGAAGTCACTATTAAGTCACTCATCTATTCCATTCCAGTTGAAACAATTCCTGTCTCTCTGCGCTGCTTACTGTCTGGACAGGTTGTAGTGCACAAAGGGTTCAGGTCTCCCACATGTTATCATTTAGAACTGAAAAGCTACTCGATTTCATGTTGTTCTTTTTTCCCCTTCACTATTAATTTACTGATTTCACTGATGTGAGAGGAAACCATAGAATTATTTCACTTCAGGAGCATCAGAACAGAAATTTAAGAGCCTTTTTTAGTCATTTAGGAACACATAGTTGGATTATTCTGGGGTCCGGGCTTCTAAAGAAATAAGCACTCAACTTCCTAAAGTGAGGGAGTTGAAGACTCCTGTTCCATTCAACTGTGTCCTTCAGTTCCTTTGCTTTAAGTGGGTGACAAAGCCATTAACTTCAATGGGAACACTGATGCACTGAAAGGTAGGTGCAAAGGTCAGCAGCAGGAAGCCAAAAGGGAGTGAACAGAATGTTTCAGTGATCTGGCAGTTTACTTCACCAAATGCAAATGGTACACAATTATTTTCTCATTCCTGTTTCACTCTCCCATACTGATCTCTTTCCTGGGTGCTGACGTTTTTCTTCTACCCTGTCTCTGCTAACATCTTCTACTAAATCAAGCAACAAGCTGCCTTTGTTACAGGTGAATAACTCAAAAAAGTTGCAGGGGCCTGTGTCATCTGAGCTGTCAGAATTCCAGTGCCTTTTTCCAGGATGCTGGCGTTTCTCACCATATTGGTCATTTAGGTCTACCTTGTAATTCCATCCTCTTTTGCTAGGGTACTGGTGCTCGTACATCAGATACCTTCTGCCTGGATGCTGTCTTTTGGATAACTCATTCATATAGGTTAGCTGTGCCCTGGGGCTGTCAGCAATCTGATCCAACAGTGACCTGCCAGGAGGCTGTTGCTTTTTCAGCTCCAGATAGACATCAAGGTCATCTTCTTTCTCTCTTTTCCCTGGATGCTGCCTCTTCTGAATGTCTCCATAAGATGTGTCTTTCTCAACATCTCTTTTTCCAGGGTGCTGTCTCTTCAGTTTACTTAGGTACTTCTCGCCAGGGTGTTGTCTTTTGGAAAGCTGTTCTGGCAGAGGGGCTTTTGATTCTGTCCAAGGAAAAGAATAATGTTAATGAGCCCCCATAATCCTCACTAAGGAAGCTGAAATGGGAATTTGTGGAATTCTGTGGTACAGGATCGTAACCTGCTGTTCTTTGAAAGCCAACTCAGTAATTCCAGCTACCAGTCATAACACTGTTAATATCTCATTCTTTTTAATATTTCAGGTCTTGGATCTACACAACCAACACTCAGCATTCATGTGAAGAGGGAGGAAGGCTTTTTCTATTGGCACTTGAGGCCAGTTCCTCTTCCACTTTGGAAGGGCTCTGTGCTCCTTGTTGCTGGTAGGCACCTATGTGCTGCTTCTTGCAATCCCCAAGTCTGATTTCCTTCCATTCCTGTGACTAGTGAGAGCAGAGCATCTGCAAGCTGGGAGACTCAGACGCTGGAGCTGCCTCTAGCCTTCCCAGCTGTGGAAAAAGCCTATTTCTGCTGGGGTGTAGGAACCAGTGGCTTGAGGTAGTAGGTGAATGGCAGCACTGCCATCTAGACCTGACATTAGGTGGGTCTGCAACTGGGGAATGTCCTCTATGTCCTCTTACAGCTTCCCTAGGGAAGTACTTGCCAAACAGGCAGGGTTTCTGTGACAGGCTTCTACCTTTTTATTATGCAGCAGCTGTTAAGTGATGGTACAGCCTTGTCTGAGTGGGGTACTTGTCAAAGTACCTTTGAGAATTCTGTGTCAGTGTATCGCAGCAGCCCTCTTATTCTTTCCCTCTCCTTAGTTACAGTGGTAAATATATTATATTATATTAGAACTTGGAAATCATACCTTGGATCTAACTATCTCAGCCAAGTGCTATGCCAGCATCAGCAAAGAAATGTCTTCAGTGGGATATATACCTTTATTAGTTTCTTCATTCTTTTCAGCTTTCTTGAGGACAGACTGAAAAATGAGGCTTTCAGATCTCTGAAGGATGTCATCCAGAGGACTCCTTCTCATGGTCTCACTCTCCTCTGGAAGGGGCTGTCTCCCATTGAGGCAAACACCCCACAAGGTCGAGCAGAGGAGTAGCAGTGGCAGCTGGATAGATGGCATTTTGGGACAGGGGTTCCTGCAGCTTCTGCAGAACAGAGAACAGCAGGAGAGGAGGATGGAGCAAACAAACCTAGCAATAACAGCAATATATCCAGACACTGAAAAAGAGATATAGCACTGCTGTAAGGATTGAAATCTCTTAGGATCCTTCTTCATTTCTGTTACTAACCTCTAGTTTATCTTATATCCTCCAAATTCTTCATAGTTAAAAGCAGGCACTTGTTCATTTTTCTGGCAGAATAAATGTGAGTATTTTAAATACCTAACTTCCTGAGTCACATATGATTTTGAAAGCCAGTGATTTTGCTTTGCCTTCTGCCAAGAGACAAACGTAATTTCCCCCTTGAACTCAGTGTTAACTATGAGGTACAGACACCTGTATCCACACTATCAATCTCCATCAGGCAATTCCCTTTGCTAAGGGTTCATTTTAAAATAATGCTGGGAATTACAGCACTTTCATTACTGCTTTAGTTAAAGCCAAACTTTATTAGTCTACTAGTTTTTAACTGTCTTTTTCTATACATTTAAAGTAGCCGTGTGCCTGGGTATTTGTCAGGATAAGAAGACAGCTATGCTCTATGGGGCAGGAAGATTTCTTGCACTGGGGAAGCACCTCTTTTTTTCAGAGATGTAATAATAATCATATCCTCTATTACCTCTTGCCAGATAACAAGTGCTTTTCTATTTCTTTTAGCTAGCACTGAATTCCTATCACACTTAAGGGGTTATTTTACAGTAAGCAGAGTTCCTTTAGTAGAATGGAATACATCTTTAATGCTTGTATAACAGTCGTATATATCTTAATTCTTGTCTATCTTCAGAACATGAAAGAAATGCATCATTTTATGAAGTCCTACACATTTTTTAAATAGAGAATGAGTTTATTACCTCTCTTGTTGGCAGGATTCTGTCACTTCTGAGGTCCTTGGGTAACAGCATTAAGAATGCCACATAGGTTGTTTGTCTTAGAGCAATCTTTAGATAGAAAGGTAGAATCTGCTAAAAAGGAAATTATTTGATAAATTACCTGTTTTGTAGTTTCAGATGTTTGCTTGATGCATCTGCCAGGAGACTGATAGTCCTTTAAAGCTGTTTGCACATCTGAGCTTCAAAGTTGCACTTTTGTTGCCACAGACACACAGAGTATCCAACAGAGCTGTTGCTGTGTGCTCTTTGGATGGTTTGTGTCTCCCTACTTATACTGTACCGCCTCTGGACCCTTTATGCAAATAGCTCTGAGGTAGTTTAGGGGATGTGATGTGTTGGGGCTTTTTTTACTGCTCTCAGCTGCATTTTGAATGCATTTTAAGATTTGGATAGTTAACTGCTGACCTCCATATATCCATACTCGACTCCCAGAAATTGTTATTTTCCCTTTCTCTAAAGAGCTTATGTTGAATTTTATGTAACTCAGCATAAAGAAAATGAGTTTTTTCTCTGCAAAACTAAGCTTGTGTGTCCTCTCTCAAGCAAGTACTGTGGAATAAACGCAGAGAGGTAGGCTAGACAAGAAAGACAATGACAACAATGTAATGGATTATATTTAAATAAGTTTGCACCATGAGTTCTTATTCTGATTAAAACTACACAGTTCCATATTTTCTTGGCACTGGGTCACAATTCCATATTTTCTTGGCATAGGGTTCCACAAACAGTACTTTAGAATATAGAGTGCATAGCATTAGATATTAAAACACAGTCATGTTGCCGCTATATGGTTCAAAAAGCATTATACTGTTGTGACTAGAAATAAAACTCCCTGTCTTTAACCCATCTGTCTATTTAAGATACTCTTCCACACAGTACTACTGAAAACAAATCATGCAGGGGGCACAGCTGCTTGGCATTTCCTAGGTGTAATAACTCCTTAAGGTCTCTTGGTGTATGACACCTGAGTTTAAAAAAATTATTGCCCTTAAATTAAAGTGGGCATTGATGAAATGGGAAACTGCCTGTTTTTGTTCTCATTAAAATCTGCTTCTTGACACCTTTGAGCTGAGGATTCCCTTTAGAGAATAGGGACGAAATCCTATGTTACAACTACATCTCTGTGCAAAGCTTCTCAGCAGGTGCAAAATTATATTCACAGTGCAGTGCCCAGGACTTCCAGCCTGGCCAGCTTTGCTCCTTTGCTAGACTTATTTTTGTCTTATTTTGGACTGATTTAGAGTTTTAATGCTTTGTTTAAAGAAAGAAAGTTAAAATTAAGCACCTCAAAGAGTCTTCTGTGTTCATGAAAAATGTCCTTTTCCTATTTCACAGCTGGAAAACTGTCTATTTTTAGTATGCCATCTTTATTTTTAAAAATCTCTTTTGGTTTTCTTTTGCCGCATTTTTTTTCAGTTTCATTTTCCCCACAGGTGATTTTTCTCTTTAAAAGATTTCTGGAGGTTTATTTTATAAGTGTAAATGTCCTTTCTTCCCCCTCACTGCACAATTACTCATGACGCTGAAATGAATTCATGGGTAGGAGGGAGAGTTTGTTTTCTCAAACTCTAGAGCCTTCCAAGCTGTACTTTTCTGTCTATCACAATCCACTGACACCCTAGACTTGCCCAGAGCTTGTGTCAGCACAGGGTTTGGCACCCAGTCCACCTGTATGTCTGTGGTAGGTTCTAGAATTACATAGAGATGTCCAACTACTACATTTCATACCTAAATACAGCATTTCACCGCCACTGTGATCCTCAGCCATTTGTTCAACTGCTGTATTTTATCACAGGTGCATCAAGTCCCTTGAGCTGCTTTATCAGCTCTTTTGATGAAGTTCCTTATTTTCCTTTTAAACATTCTCAAGGGCACGCCAGCTTCTCAAAAGGCTTCTAAATGAAGAAACTGAGAGACAGACAACTCCTTCAGAAGCAGAATCAGGCCCTTACAGCCGTGAGGACTGAGGTTTGTGTTCGTCCCCTCTCCAGCCTGGTTGTTGCTTGTATTGCTGACTTGGGTCACTCTCCACGTATGAGCAGGAGCCTGAGGCCTTCACTTGTGCTGAGCACTTGCCCCACTCAATGTTAGCTTTCATAGCAATTGGGCCTTAGCATTGGGACTGTCACTGGGCACGCAGTTGTTGGTCCCTAAAAATATCTTGAAGGTGAATAATGAGAAAATCTGCTACTAACCCAAGTCTGATCTCTGTTTTAAAGAACATAACCACTCATGTGTTGTGCAGTTAGTCAGCTATGACATCCTGGAGTCGGGCAGAAGGTTCTCCTTGGCAGATTTTTGCATTTTTGCATCTTCCTTGGGACACCTTGCTCTGCACCATCACTGATTAACTGAAGTACATTGCTCATTTTCAATATGGCCATCCCTCTAGGAATCCTAAAATATAGAAGTTGTTATGGGAACTGCTCTTCTGTTCTCAAACTGTAAGATGATTAAAAAATATTCATGTGTGGAATTAAAGGGCCATTACCTTTGTTACCAGTTTACTGAGAGGTGCTGAATTTTTAAGTGGCTTGCCCTTTTTCACAGAGCCATAGTTGCAGAGTCAGAAAGTGACATCAGAATCCATTCACTTAGTATTCCTTTATTAAAACAGCTTGGTTTTTTGGTAGTACCTCACAAGACACACATCTTTCTCATTTAAAAGGTTGTCTGCATGACATTACTTCTGTGTACAAGACTGAGAGAAATAATTTCACTGGCTGCTTAAAGCATCCCATTAATTTTTATTAAATGTACACTATCACTGGGACTGTAGTTTCTTTCTTCTCATATCTGTAAATAATTTTATCCTCTTGGATATTTACTGAGTTTTATTTCTTGCAATGGCTGCAAAGCTAAGCTGTTCTGTCTGAACTTCTTGTTAACAGTGCTATAAATTAGGAGTGACTTGTTTGCTAACAGAAATGAGAGGCAAATCAGCTCTTTTGTTTTCTCTGGAAAATGTAAAAGCACAGCTTACTTAGATCACTCCTCCCAGTTTGTTCCTTGAATTGGGCTACTCATGCAGAAAATTACAGATATGGTCATCAGTAGTAGGTGGACAACTCACTCTTTTCCCATGTGATCCTTCCTAACATGCATCTTTTCCTCCATCACAACAGGTAGTTTGCCGTGCAGGAGGATATGTTGTATTTTTGTGAGAGATATAATTCCAGCTTCTCTTCATCTTGATTTTAACAACATCAAAGTGTCAGAGTGGGTATAGCCACAGTGATCTTTAGATGTATAGTTTTACAAGGAAGACAAGCTTTCAGGAATACAAACCTTTCTTAGACCTGAGAAAAAGTGTTCATATCTGAAAGTTTGTCTCTCTTATGACTAAAAAAGGACTTACGATCCCCCAGAACTGTCAGCTTTTCCTGGCTATAGAAATCACTAAAATAAAAGATAATAAATCCACAAACTTGTATTAAATATTAATCATTGCTGGAGTCAGCGTTCCAAGCAAGTTGCATCTACCTAGTCCTCAAAATTCATTTGCTAAGTAAATGGACCTAGACAGCATTCAGTGGTTTAGTGACCTGTGAAGGAGGTTTTGAAAAGCAGCCTGGGGTGATCATAGCCGGTGTTAGCATCAGTGAGCCCTTTGGTACAGACACACTTGGCAAGGGGGGCTTCACCATGGGCACAGCACAGCCCAGCTGGCTTTGCTGAAAGTCCTCACTAAACCAAAACCCTTGAGGAATAATGACAGCTTTTTCATTCATTTTCATTAGCTGGGAATATAAAATACAGGAAGGGAAAGGAAGGTAACTCCTCTACCATGTTTTGTTTCTTCCAGCACTGAGCCCCCACCATAGCACTTATGCTACTGCTTAGTGCAGGCATTTGTGGTGGGAAGCACTTGTTTGTAATGTGAGCTCTGAAGCCTTTTGAGGGCAGCTGCGAGTGAGCCAGGTGAAGGAATTGACCTGGAGAATGTGGTGAAATCATTAGAAGTTCTGCTGGCTGATGCTGAATGGCACTTTCTTGAAGCATGACCTGAACATGGCAGGGACATGTAAAGGACCTCTTTTGAAGACTTTCAATTGACACCCTCCTTCTCAAAAATTCCGGAAGTG